TATATCACTTGACACTAATAATTTGGCAAAAGGCTCTTATGCTTGTGTTCTTATTTGTCCTATCTTTAAAAAAGGAGACAAAAAGGAGTGCGAAAACTATAGAGGTATAGCGCTATTAGAAGTAGTCTATAAAATACTTACAAAAATTATTAGGAAAAGATTAATAAAATATGATAACAAAGTAATTGAAGAACACAGAGACTTTTAGATCAGAAATAACAACTACTAATCAAATAAGTATGTTAAAATTAAAACAAAATAATAACTACGAACAAAACTTAGGATTAAGATAAGAACAAACAGGACTATTTTTAATAGCAGGGAACAGTGGGGATCAAACAGTTACAATAGTAAAAAATGAAGATCCTCATCATCAGCAATTACAGGATAGTTTGAACTATGTTCTCCCAACCATTAATAAATCGTGTACCGGCATCATTTATTTAACTTTTTTTCGACTGACCTGAAGATATTTGCACATTGTAGAAAGCCAAACCGGATGTCCAGGTAGTTAAATTAAACTGATTGTGAGTAATTCTAATTTCTTTTTTACCTACTACACATGTATTTCGTTTTTCATTGATTGAAAAACATAAAAAATAAAAGCAGTAACTCGTTCTTCAGTGAAAATCAAAACCGCCCGTATGTTGAGATATTTAGTTGATGAACCTGGAGCTGCTTTAGTAAGCAAGACTTTACAGGTAGGTGGGAAAATTTCCCTATAAGAAAAAAACGTAGTACATATACCGAAAATAAAGCATGAAAATTCATTTATTTTTTAAATAGCCATTTCTGTTTTAGAGGCAGCGATATATAATATACAGATTAAACGAAATAAATTCGGAACATACGAAATATTATGTATTTCGTCTCAATTCTGCTGTAGGTGGTTGACCAACAAAAGGTTGTCAAATAATTATATTATAAAAATCCAATACTTCAGCGGGCTGCTGGATTCTGAAATCATGTAAAATTGAAAGCTACACATAAATCTACGATTTTATTATGCTGTCAAACCACTTATAGTCCAGGAAATGAAGCATTTCACCTCGCAATTTTTTCGTCCTGCGTGGATTGACTTGAAATTTTAACAGAAGGTAGGTAATAGCCAAGGATCAAAATCTATATCGAACCAAAGTGTGCCAAAGCCTTGAGGATGGTTGCCACCCCCTCTCGGGGGTGAACATTTTTTTTACGTTTTATAACTACAGGTTTCGATTAAAAAAGTGATTCTAAACAAAAAATGTATACATTTTTTTGTAAAACTGATATTTTTCAAGTTATTCGCGATTGAAAGTAACAACTTTTAGACATAAAAATCGACGTTTTTAATCGATTTTTCGCGAATAACTCGAAAATGGTGCATTTTATCAAAAAAATTGTAGAGAACAAATTTGTAGCTTTTAAAAAGACAAATACAATTCATTTTTTAAAATGTTTTTGCGATACAACAGAAACCGAAATACGGCCTATCAATGTTACAGCGGTTTTCTTCAAATGCCAAATTTGAAAGATTCAAAGTCAAATATCGGGAAAATGATGCATTTTTGGAAGAAAACTAACGAAACCTTTTTTAAAGAGCATTAATAAACCTATGATAAAAAAAGACTCTAGCTCAAAAATTGAGTGAGTTATGATGAAAATAAGGTCAATACCTCATTTTTTTACGAAAAAATCGATGAAAACAACCCCCTAACCACCGCCATAATTAAAATCGATCTTCATCCTTCTGCAATTCTCCTTGTACATGTATTGTTAATACGTCCAAGAAGTTTGACCCATTTAAAATGCTTAGTTTTAGAAAAAGTACAGCATAAAGCAAGAAACGATTTACAATTTCATATTTTTTACCCTTCTTTTTTTAAATATCCCCGAAAATACTGAATATATGAAAAAAAAAATAAAAATGTACTAAATTGTAGCTTTTTTATGACTAAAATTTGTAGAGATCCTTGTAGCTCTTAAAAACCTTTACAAAACCGTTTTTGAAGAAACACTCTATCGTTAAAAATGAAGGAAATACGTTAAAAAAACCAATTAATTTTTTTCCGGAAAATTCCATTAGTATAGTACAGTACATTTTGGAGCATAATAATCTACAAAACCGGTATATTAGGTAGTGGGGCGTTATACATTCGAAATTTTAAGCGTTCTTATTTTGAAATCCCATACAACAGAATAAAACATCTGTTCATATGTCTATGGCTTGGCAATGAAAATATCAGAGCAACAGATTGGGGATGGTATTCCAAAGATGGTTTGTTATTACCCGTACGCATGAACAAACAACCTGCACCCGATAAACTTTTGAAAATTATTTTTTGCAATGCAAAAAAGGATGCGGCGTTTCATGTGGGTGCAGAAAAGTTGGTTTATACTGTAACTCTACTTGTTCTGGGTGCTCAGGTGAAGGGTGCAATAATAGTCCACCAATAATTAAAGAAAATGAGGATAATATAGATCACGATAAAGATGTAATTGATAACGAATAAAATTAATATTATAATTGTTTTACCTATAAATGTAAATATTTTCAACTATTTATGTAAATGTATAAAAATATATCGTGCCTTTTTATGTTGATAAATTTTTTTGTATTTAATTCTACTGTTTTCAATTTATATCTATTAAATTAGTTGATAAAAACTGCAATGTTGTAAAGGGTAATTTTCAAAAGTTGGAAAGTTGCAAAATTTTGACAAAAAATTGTTTTCACCTATAGCGCTCATAAAAATTGATTTTTAAGGGTTGAAAATGTATGAAATTGTATTTTAAAGTATAAAAAAATCACTATTTAACTAATCCAAACCAAATTTCACTCATCTTAAGATTTGTAATGTTATTTTACAATTTTTAAAAATTAGGGGTAGTTTTCACCCCTAAGAACAATCAGGGTTCATCGGCATGACATAAACTATAAAGCAGAGGGTGAGTTGAGCTTAAATCCAAATTTTTATCCAAATCGATCCAAGGCGAAATCATTTTTTTAGAATTAGTAATTTTTTTACATTAATCTCTAACAAGGGTTGCTTTTTATGGATTGAAATATGACGGAACTCTATTCAAAAGTATAAAATAATCATTATTTAACTAATTCAAATTAAATCTTACCCATATTCAGGTTTAATATGTTATTTTATAATTTTTGACAATTAGGGGTAGTTTTCACCCCTAAAACCCTTCAGCGCACCTCGGTTTGATATAGATTTTGATCCTTGGGCTATCACCTACTTTCTGTTAAAATTTCAACTCAATCCATGCAGGACGAAAAAATTGCGAAGTTTTAACTTTTTTCGAGCTTCATTTCCTGAACTATTATCGCTTCCTCCAACATTGTTGCGAGACAGATAGTTGAACGATATTTTGTACAGTGTCTATACTCAGGTATGGATTTATTTTTGTCCAAGTTTTATATTGGTCCACTATTTCAAATGCAGTTCAAACAGACATATATTAAATTGTATGATCCGTTTTAAATTCGTTATCTGTATATAAAATTATATATATATATATATATATATATATATATATATATATATATATATATATATATATATATTGTTATGATATGTAAAATCAAGAAAAGTATTGGTTTGCTTAAAATATTTCAAAGTTCAAAAACATTAAAATAATTCAGATAAGTCAAATAATGAACAACAAACATTTCGAAGAATGAAAGTCTTTTAATTTTGGATTACCTGTATTTAACAAAACGTAAGATATGCATAAATTATTTTCTTTGTTAAAATATATTTGAGTGACCCCTATAAGCTTAAGTAAAACCCTAGACATTAGAAGCGGTTTTTCTAAATAAATGTTGTGCAGTAATTAGGACAATAGAATAGATTTTAGAAAGATATTTTTTTGTTAGTTTCTTTAGAATTGGTAGGAAGATTTTGTAAATAAGTTTTAGGAAATTTTATAATTGTAGGTAAAAATTTGGGTGTTATCGAAATGAAGAAATGAGAGATGTATGACGCGTTTTGATTGGATGAGATTGGAAAAGGTGAGAGGTTTGGTTTGAGAATGAGACGTTAGTTAGTTTTGGAAGAAAAATTGATAGTTGGTTTCCAAGGGTGCAAGGCGAACGGCCATTGTTCTCGGTAGATTCCCAGAGGTAGGAAGTAGTAGCAGTGAAAGTTTGTGAGTCTTCGTGTAGTTAGTATATCTGACAGAAGCTGATCCAGTAAAAATATTGTAAGTTATATTTTCTACTTATATTCCAAGAGTCACTGTTAAGGCCAAAGAGAGATTCAGTTTATTGAGAGAAGAAGAAGCTAGCATAATTTGAACGATTCGTGCATTTGAAGGAGATCATTAAGGACGATAAACTTGCAATAATTTGTTGTAAGATTGCTGATTACCTAGGGAGCGGCTACGAGTCAATAGTATAGTCTACAAGGAACAAGGATTTGGACCACTCATCATCAGAGAGAGATAGTTTTGTTTTTTGCAGTTTTTCTTTTATTGATAACACAATTTTTACACTTAATTTAGAAAGGATATAAATATTTTGATTAGGAGATTTAGAATAATATTTGGATTTTGAGATTTCAACTAATATTGTTTGTACCAGTAATTTTGAAGGTTCACGTACGTAGAACAAAATTTTGAGAATCATTATATGAGATTTTGTTTATTGAAAACATTTGAGTGTGAATTTTATTTCGTTATTTTTATTTCAATATATAACGGTAGATCCTATATGTTTTTTTATTATTCCAGTATTCTTTGGACCTTACCTTTCACATGTAATAGCATAGATATTGAAGCACGAATATAACCCTGAGATAAGAGAATTAAAAGGTGTGATAGAATCATAGTCATATCATTAAAATAATTTTAATTAATTGATTAATTAATTAATTAATTAGCTAATTAATTGCTTGGCGCACCAAGACTTTAAATATATCACAATAATATATATATATATATATATATAATATATATATATATATATATATATATAATATATATATTAATTTTCAATAAATACTTACCCTTATTATATATGTTGTAGAATTTATGGCAAATTGTTGGCCTCCAAAAGAAAATACTACATCAGGAAGATCGTTTAAATTTTTGTTACAATCAAGAAGGTAACATTCCCAGTCTTTAGTGCAATTTGACAATTTTGCACCGATTTTCTAAAAACATTATCATATTAGATAGAATTTAATGAATGAAAATAGATAATGAAAATAGATAAATCTTAATATAAATACACACTTAGATCGAATGTTTAAATCTGAAATCATTACATCTGCAATTTTACATCATCTTGAAATTCGCATAAACCAGGACTACTTTAAATTTAATAATCAAATATTACAAATAACAGTGCAGGACTTATAATGGGCAATCCTCTAAGTCCATTGTTATCAGATATTTTTATGGATCATATAGAAACAAATATATCAAAACATCCCTTATTCAGTTTTTATATTGGAGGAGAAACGTAGACTATGTACTAGTAAGTTTTACCGGAACTAACAGGCAACTTGACCAATTCTTATCGCGTATTAATTTACTCCATAGTCATATTGAATTCACAATAGAAACATAATAGAATCAATCCATAAATTTTATAGATTTAAAAATTGCCAGACTTAAAAACAAACATGAGTTCTTCGTATTTTATAAACCTACCTATACTGATTCGACTATACACAATCCATCATCCTTTCCTAAAGAGCATAAATTGGCAGCGTACCATAGCATGGTATATAGAGATAAACTATAGTTAATAGAAATTTCCGTGTCAAAAAACAATTTCGAGATAGAACATGAATATCATTAAGTTAAAGCAGTAAACATTGGGTACAACGAACAAACAATCAATAAAATTTTAAATCAAACACTACATAATAAAGCCTTGAAATTAGTATTTCCACCACTAGAAAAAAAACCAATATCTTATGATCGATTACATATACAGGCAAAATACAAACAAAAGTGGCCAAACATTAAAAAAGAAAGAAATAACACCAGCTTTTAGAACAAACAAAGCAAGAGCCAAAATAAAAAGCACATACACAGTGGTGTATACAAACTAAAATGTGGTGACTACCTAAAAACTTACATCGGTCAAGCTGGTAGAACTTTTAACAAACGTATAGCAGAACATAAATAGGCTTTCTATAATAGAAAAATAAATTCTACGTACGCACTTCACCTTCTAGACCATAATCATTTATTTAATGACGAATTTCAAATTCTTCACATCCAAAATAAACGCCTTTTTTTACTCGATTCGGATTGCCGAATATAGGCCTCTCCTAATTCACGCCATTCATGTCTGTTGTTTGTAAGACGTTTCCACATTGGTCCTGCAGTTCTTTTAACATCGTCGCTCCAGCGTATTTGCGGTCTTTATTGTGATATTTTGGCTTCATCTCGCTGCCAATTCCCGATTTATTTATTCTATCGGCCATCCTTAAGACGTCCGTTATGTCCAAGCCCATTTTCATTACAGTTTAGTTGTCTATTCGACAGCATCTTTTACTTTTGTTTTATTACGAATGTCTTCATTGGTTTTAAAGTCTTTGAGTGAGTGAGTTACCCAGCATTTATCGTTCCATAGCTCTCTGAGCTTTTCTGATCTTCTCCATGTTTATTTTAGTGAATGTCCAGGTTTGAGCTCCATATGTAAGTACAGGTAGGATATAATAATTAAACACTTTGGTTCACAGTCTTTGAGGTATATTTTTATTTTGAAGTACGTATGAGAGTCTTTCGACTGCTGTCCATGTTATTTTTACATATATTTCGGTAGGCTGATTTTCGTTCTTACCGTGAAATTTTGACCCAGATATGTATATTCATCGACGTGTTCTATCTCTGTCCCTTGGATGTTTATCATAGGTTTGTCATCTTTGTTTCTCATTAGTTTATTTTACTGAAATTAATTTTTAGTCCTTTTTTACGGGTTCTGTGTAGCTCCTCAATCATCGTATTCACTGCATTCCATGTCTCAGCTATTAGTACTACATCATGTACGTATATAAGATGGTTCAAGTATCCGTTAATAGGAATTCGTTTTTTCCAGTCTATTGACTTCGAAACATCGAAATTGATTCTCCTGCCTAAAGGAGAGGACAAATATCGACCTAGTTGCCTCCTATCTTGTATTTGTAAACTGTTTGAAAGACTGCTGAGCGGGAGAATTGATGAAGCAATTGAGAGGTCTGGAGGCTTATCCCCTAGACAATATGGTTTCCGTAAGAATGTTAGCACGACTGATGCAGTGCTGGGAGTTTACCGAGCGCTAAATATAGAGGCCCGCGACCAAAAATGGGCTGCATTGCTCTTACTAGACGTTAAGAACGCCTTCAATTCCCTGCAATGGGGAACAGTGATGAGAGCGGTTGAGGATAGAAACTTTCCTGGATACTTGAGGAACCTTATCTCAGACTATCTATCTGAGAGAAGAATCCTGGTTGAAAAGGGTGTGATTGTGGATGTTACGGCTGGGGTGCCACAGGGGTCCGTCCTTGGACCAAAGCTATGGAACCTGGCATATGACGGGGTTTTGCGGCTTGAATACGGAGAGGGGGTCACTCCCTTCGCATTCGCGGATGACCTTGCATTGCTGGTAGTAGCACGGGACGCGGAAGAACTGCTGTACAAAGCACGGAGTGCATGTGACCTTGCAAGAGATTGGATGAGTGAGCGTGGTCTGAAACTTGCTGAGGAGAAAACCGAGGCCGTGATACTTAAGGGACCACGGAAACGCGAGAATGTTATATTTGAGTGCGGTGGTGCGAAGATCACTCCAAAAAAGTGCGTCAAGTACTTGGGAGTAACTCTTCACACCAGTGGAAGTTGGGGCGAGCATTTGCGGGTGGTGACGCGCATGGCCACGCAGAGAGCGGCTGCACTGGGAGGGATAATGCCCAACATAGGCGGGCCTAAACCTGAAAGAAGAAGGGCTCTGCACGGGGTAGTGCAATCTATCGTTCTTTATGCGGCCCCAGTTTGTAGCGGAGAGACAGATATATCATCCTACCGGAGACTTTTAACACGAACAGACAGAACAAGCCTGTTACGCGTAGCAAGCGCCTATAGAACTGTTTCTGCAGCAGCATTGTGGGTCATCACTGGCTGCATGCCCTCTCACATCTTGGCATGCGAGAGGACCCGTTTATTTCATCGTGCTCGTAACACTGGTGTGACTGAGAGTGCAAAATGTGAAGAGAGAGCCACATCTATACAGATATGGCAAGCCTAATGGGAGGCAACTGTGGATGTGGCACAGTGGACCAAGTCACTTATACCGAACGTAAAGACGTGGCTCGAATGTGGACACCGGCGTTTAGATTATTTCCTGTCGCAGGTTCTCACGGCCATGGTGTTTTCGCTCATACCTTTTCAGGTTCAAAAAAGCGGCTACAAATAGATGCCCTTACTGCGGTTTGGTCGACACTGTGTCACATACACTGTTGGAATGTGTAAGATGGAGTAGAGATAGATTAGAATTGGAGAGAAGAAATAGTGTTCGTTTTGATTCCGTGAGTGATATGATTGCTAGGATGTGTGAGGATGAAGACACGTGGGCAAGAACCCATGCATTCGTCAGACAGACGCTCCAGTCCAAGGAGACTGAAGAAAGACTGCTGTAGTCACAAAAAAAGTTTGTTGTGTTAGTCCAGCGGTGAAGTGATACTTAACGAGAAGTGAGGCGGATGTAGTACTGAAGATATGCCGCCACCAGGGCGAATCCCGGACTGCACTCGCGGATCACAAGCGTAGTTGAGAGGACGGAGGGGTTTTAGTGGGTAGGCTCTCGTCCCGGCCGGGATTGCGGTTGAGCGTGTCACATGTGGTGGGCTCAACAGCCATCTTAGCGGCGGTGAGGGAATCCCACATATCAGACATAAGAACTGGTATCTTACGATGATTTCCCACCCACCTCAAAAAATATGAAAAAAAAAGTCTATTTGACTTAAATATATCTTCTAGGGCAGCTGTAATTAATTTTGGAGATATTGTGTCTCCTTGTCTTACGCCTCGGTTGATTTTTACTGGTCTTGTTTCCATTCCATTACCCAACGTCACTATCATTTTATCTTGTTCGTAAATATAATGTATTAATATTCTGTACCTTGAGTCGATCTGGTTGTTAAATAATGCTTCTTCTATTGCCCATAGTTCTACGCTATCAAAAGCTTTTTCGTAATCTATAAAAGCCAGACATAATGGGAGATTGTATTCGTTAGTCTTTTCTATAATAGATGGTCACAGGTACTGTACCCTTTTCTAAATCCGGCTTGTTCTACTGGTTGATATTCGTCAAATTTAACTGTTAACCGGTTTGTAATGTTTTTTAATGTCCTCTTTTACTTGTTGTCTTATTACTCCATTAAGTTCCTTAAATTCTGCAGTATCTCTTTTGTTTTGTCTCAGAAGATATTTTCTTTGTTTCAGCTGTTTTTGTGGTTCTACACTTATTTTGGATTTTCGTTTTCTGTTAGCATTTGCCACTTCTGAGTTTGAATTTAATAGTTCTTTTGTTATAACTTTATTGATTGTATTTAAGGTAAGTTTATCTAGATTTAATAATTTCGCGGGTTTTATAACTTTTTTTTATATTGTGCTGTATTGGAAAAAGAAAAGAAAAGCAGGCCCACCAAATGCAGCGATTTTAGACTAATCAGTTTGATGAGTCACACACTGAAGATACTCTTACGAATTATACAAAACCGAGTATTCCTTCTATGCGAAAGTAAGATGGGTGATAAGCAATTTGGATTTAGAAACGGTCTAGGAACTAGAGAGGCACTATTCTGTATGCGCGTTCTATTACAAAAAAGTTGTGAATTCCGAAAGAATGTTTATGTTTGTTTCATCGACTTCGAGAAGGCGTTCGACAGAGTCCAACACAATACACTTTTCGACTGCCTACGGGCAGCAGGACTTGACCACTATGATATAAGACTGCTGAAATACTTATATTACAATCAAGTAGCCTCTATCCAAATTGGAGGACAGTCCCACTGAAAAAATACCCATCAAACGTGGAGTACGGCAGGGTTGTGTTTTGTCACCCACTCTTTTTAATCTGTACTCTGAAGAAATCTTTAGGGAGGCTTTGGATGACAGACAAGAGGGAGTAAGACTAGGTGGAGAAGTAATCAACAATATTAGA